ACGTGATTAAATGAGTACTACTTTAAATTGTGATCGCAGCGGTGGTTTTCATTGAAAACCGGCAACACCGCCGCTACTTGAATTCTTAAAAATCGTGTAAAAGTTTCAAAAAAGTGCAAATCATGGGCTGACTTTTCGAATTTTGCTTGGTCTAGGCGTTTTGCTTTAACACGGAGTCGCGAAACGTACCGAAACGAGCGTCAATATCGGGCGTCGGGCGTGTTGACGAATTTTCAAATCGCTATAACTCGTGTTCCCTAAGTCTCTCAGAAAAGTATAATATATCAATGGATGCGGAATCGAACGAACAATAATTCCGACAGGTTTTTATTCAATCCTCACCAACCGCAAACACTTTTTTAGGCGGTAACGTGATTTTAAATAATAACGAAAATTAAAAAAATGACCGAAACGTGGCAACAGTGGAGTCAAATTAAAATTTCTTTTGCATAGGTCGATAGAACATAATTTTTTGCGTTTTTTGGTGTAAATACGAGCTCTGTAACTGCATTTTTGCGAAAGTTATGGATGTTTGAAGGTTACGACTTTAAAAAATGGCAACGCTGTTTCCCTGGGGTTCCTGCAAAAACGGAGCTAGGGATAAGCCTCTCTCAACTAGTAAGTACTATCAGCCTACAAAGTTTCGTACATTCCGGGCTGGGTACATTTTTCGCCTATATGAATAACCCTCTTTCAACTTCATGATTTTTTCCCCATCATTATATTGACTGTGGAGGCTACTTTTAAATTTTTTTTAGTAAGTACAACACCTTGTCTAAATGTAGGAAGAGTCAAAAGTCGAATTTCATCTTTCATTTTTTTCCCACAAATTTTCAAAAATTTCCCGTTTTTTTCACCCAGTTACCCAACGTCGTGGGGTAACTGGACTACCCCCCCCCTTAATTTTTGAGGGGGGCATTATTTTTAATTCTCATTGGCCAGAAGGTGATGTCCTGCTCATGAAGGTTTAAGAAAATGTCATTTGAATGTATATAAACATGTTTAAGTGGTTAAGAATGATGTCGTAACAGTTAGCGGCAAAAAAACCCTCAAATCTGAGAATTGAATAACGGTAAAAAAAAATCGTTTCCTTGTAGATAAATGCTTAGAACTTTTTTTATTACTACTTATAAAGTAGTATTGTATACCAGGACACTGTTTGGCCACTTTTAGTGAGATTAAGCATGATACATTTTTAAAAAATGAAAAAAAATTAAGCCGCAAGGCTGATCTGGGATAGAGTCAGGCGCCAAAAAGTTCCCTTAATTTTTAAGGGGGGCATTATTTGTAATTCTCATTGGCCAGAAAAGAATGTCCTTCTCATGAGGGTTTCAGAGAATTTCATTTGAATTTATATAACCATGTTTAAGTCGTTAAAAGTGATGTCGTAACAGTTAGCGGCAAAAATGTAATTAAGTAATGCTTAAGTTATGCTATAATTGACTTAAGTTAGAAGTTTAGTGTGCTGGGAACCCTGATTATTGGTCTTTGGCACTTAAAAGTCCACAATAGTCAATTAGTTTTGAAATTTTCAGAAGTTAACAAACACCGAAACAGCAACCTTGCAATGGGTAACTGGGCAGGTGCCACCACTGCCACCTGCCCAGTTACCTTGGGGTGGGTGCCCAGTTACCCCACAAAGGGAAAATTTTCAAGGTAACTGGGCATCAACCCTTTGCAGCCAGTATTTTCATCCAATTACGTTGTAATTACTCACGCATTACACAAATACATCATACATGAAGAAGAATTGTCAAAGTTGAATAAAATACTTGCTGGGAGTGAGATATGAGGCTCTTTTCGGGACCACCTCTGGCGTTGTTTTGAAAAAAAAGCTGTATAATTTTCGGCACTCCACCATTCACCATAAAAATTTTTTTTGAAGTTATGTTTACATGTTCTAGATGGTTTACGTCATAATGAAGGTATGCCAACAGTGAAAACAATTTTTGCACTAATCTGGTAGAAATACAGAGGGTACTGCCCAGTTACCCCTCCGCCCAGTTACCCAACCTCACCTTAAGCAAAACGGCCAAAAAATGACCCCGCGGGGATTGTACGAAACTTTGTGGGATGATTGTATAGGTCATTTTGGGCCTGCATCTGGCTGCTTTTAGGCGAAAACCGCAGGGAAACAGCGTTGCCATTTGTTAAAGTCGTAACCTTCAAACACCCATAACTTTCGCAAAAATGCAGTTACAGAGCTCGTATTTATACCAAAAAATGCGGAAAATTTTGCTCCATCGACCTACTCAAAGGAAATTTTTATTTGAGTCCACTGTTGCCACGTTTTGGCCATTTTTTAAATTTTCATAATGATTAAAAATCACGTTATCGGGTAAAAGTGTGTTTGCAGTTGGTGGGGATTGAATAAAAACCTGTCGGAATTATTGTTCGGTCGATTCCGCATCCATTGATATGTTATACTTTTCTGAGAGGCTTAGGGAATCCAAGTTACAGCGATTTAAAAATTCGGCAACACGCCCGACGCCCGATTTTGACGCTCGTTAAGGTACGTTTCGCGACTCCGTGTTGAAGGAGAACGCCTAGATAAAACAAAATTCGAAGAGCCAGTTCATGTTTTACGCTTTTTTGAAACTTTCACGTCATTTTTAGAAATTCAAGTAGCGGCGGTGTTGCCGGTTTTCAATGAAAACCACCGCTGCGATCACAATTGAAAGTAGTACTCATTTAATCACGTTTAGCTACATAGTTTATCATAAACTGACCATTTGCGACATGATGTTAACAACGTCGCCTAATTTCCGTCGGAATTCGCGTAGAGGCGGGGTTGCCAGTTTTCAAGGAAACCGCCGCCGCAATCACAAAAAAATGTATCACTCATTAAATCACGTCCAGCCTTATTCTGTTATTGGAATTGTCGATTTATCGAATCGATGGTTTCTTCTATCTCTTTGCAACGGCACTGGTGCCCGACAATAATGAGGTATCGATATTGTATCGAGATCAAGATCGATGGATCTAAGTCCCTTTCCAAAACTAATCATCAGACCGCTCGGGTGATTCGGTAGCCTTAAATGCGTAGGTCGATGGAGCAAAATTTTCCGCATTTTTTGGTATAAATACGAGCTCTGTAACTGCATTTTTGCGAAAGTTATGGGTGTTTGAAGGTTACGACTTTAACAAATGGCAACGCTGTTTCCCTGCGGTTTTCGCCTAAAAGCAGCCAGATGCAGGCCCAAAATGACCTATACAATCATCCCACAAAGTTTCGTACAATCCCCGAGGGGGCACTTTTTGGCCGTTTTGCATAGGTAACCCTCTTTCCTCTCTTATGTTGCAGATCTGACAAAACCCTTAGGTGATCAAGTTCCCGAAGTTGGACTTAATTTCTTACTCAGGACAATTGGAGATGAATTAATGGCTTCGGAGCCGATTGTCCGATTACCATCTCTCTCTGGGGACGGTTCTGTTATTGAAGATATGCATTGCAAGGATACATTGATCTTTGCCATTCCTGGAGTTGAAGGTGAGATGATTCGACTTTTTCATTTGTGGAAAAATTTATAGTTGAGGCATAATTTTTCGGACTATGTTTTTGTAGGGTAAATATTCTCAGGCAGAATGAAGCACCAAAGCACACAATTACAGAAACAATGCTGAAAAGAATTAGAGACGTGTTAGCTAGTTCCGTTGTCATTATCAACCTAAAACAAATAAAAAAACACCGGCTCATGAGAGGCAGCGTTGATCAAAGGGTGGGTCGAGGTAGGTTCTCTCTCAGAATCGGTTATGGTTAATGGGGATATATTTTGGGGTGAAAATAATGGACATCCTTCCAAATTTCATAAAAAAATATTCATTCTCTGAGGTTTCAAACAGAGTAGGTATTTAAATTCTCCTTTCCTCTAATTTCACCGCATTATTTCGCGTCAATTTTATCTTGTGATTCCTTATGAATATAATATTTGCGTAACGGGTAGTGAGGCTACTTTCATTCGACACAAAATGAGGCTTCTCTCCAAAATCGTATCAAACCGCACGCCAATGTGGATAATTTCCGGCCACCTTCATCAACTTGGTTGCTACCAGTTTTTTGTGAGTGGGAATAGCACTGATGTAAACAGAATTACACTGTAAAAGCTAGTTGCATTGAGGTTGAGTCTAGTTTGCTCCAGAGGTGGAAAAAATGCTTGATCGCGCGCCTGCCCGGGCGTCTGAAAATGTGGAAAGGCCCTCACAAGTATGGAAGGAAGGAAAATTTTGAATGATCAAAAGACAAATATCAAAGGAAAGAAACAGAAAAAGGTCCTCACTTTTGAAATTGGTGGGAAATTTTGCTGAGAAGTGATGAGAAATACGAGGAAAGCCCGCGGGCGGGCGCGTGAAAACGTGAAAGCTTGGAAGATTCTGCACCCCTGATTTTCTCTCACCCCTCTAGAGGCAAAACATATAATTAACTGTAAATATTATTGCATTTTATCAATAATATGGAGGCACGACAAAGAATTCGATTGATTTTATTTTATTTTCAACTTCTTCGAATCCGAGTCATATTGGAGTTGTATACGCTCCATGGATGCTTTTGAGCCACCCTAATGAACTCTGTGTATTATAGTCAACACGTTGTGCCACATTTAAGTATATTTTTTGCGATATCTTCGGAGTATAGGCACCTTAAATAGTGCTTATTTTGAAAACTTCATCTGAAACAATGGAGATAATTCTCACCAGTCACCATGCTTTGTCCTCTTGGGGTTGTTATTCATAGTTTGCAATTCTTTAACCGCAATTTTTATTTTTTATCTATTCATGTATTTACAGGTGTTGCCTCAATCATGGAACCTTTAGCCAAAAATTTGAATGCCCAAGTTTTATGTCTTCAATACGATTTCGAAAGACCTGCATCAACCATCCAAGAACTTGCCCAATCTTTGGTTCCTGTTAGTAAAGCCATTTATCTACACATTTTCAATTAATGTAACCCTTACAATTAGTTTAAAAATCCACTTCAATAAGTACTTTGAAGCTAAATATACAGGGTGTTTCAGACCACCCGTACCAGGCCTTTTTCTCGGTTGGTATAGATCGTACGAAGTCGGAGACCGCGGGGTTGAATAGGGAATTGACCCCAAGGAATCCGAATGTCGTGGTCCCGAAACCCCCCCACTCCCCCTTGGGGGGTAAAGGGGGGGGTCACGATGCTAAAAGTCACGGTTCCCGACCGAATTGCGGATGGATCGCATCAGAATTGAAAAGCACGGAAAATTTCACGCGGAACTGACCCCTAAAAATCCAAACTCGGACCATCCAAAGCCCAAAAGTGGCCCCCTAAGGAGGGGACGGTACCCCCCTCCATAATTTCTCTTTGGTCTCAAAATTGACGTAAACTCTCCAGAAAAAGACGGTTTCCCAGGTAATCGACCTCGAGATATCCAAATAAATGGTCCCGAAGCTCCTCTAGCCCCCCTTGGGGGGTAAACGGGGGACCCAATTTTAAAAATCGGGGCTCCTTTCCGAATCGCAAATTGATTGCATCCAAATTGAGGAGCAGAACACTTTTACATCTTAAGTGACCCCCAAGAGTTTTAATTGACTCCCCTGAACGGCAGAAAGTAACCCATGAGGAGGGGGGCTCTGCCCCCGCCAAAAATTTCTCAGGATTCCTCTTTGGTCGCAAAATTGACGTCGATTCTCCAGAAAAAGACGGTTTCCCATGTAATCGACCCCAAGGAGCTCAGGGAACATGAAATTTAGAGTCCCCGGGGTCTATTACATGGGAAACTGTCTTTTTCTGGAGAATCGACGTCAATTTTGCGACCAAAGAGGAATCCTGAGAAATTCTTGGCGGGGGCGAGGCCCCCTTCCTCAGGGGGTTACTTTCTGCCGTTCAGGGGGTCTATTAGAACTCTTAGGAGTCACTTAAGATGTAAATGTGTTCTGCTCCTCAATTTGGATGCAATCGATTTGCGATTCGGAAAGGAGCCCCGATTTCTAAAATTGGGCCCCCCCCCGTTTACCCCCCAAGGGGGGCTAGAGGAGCTTCGGGACCATGAAATTTGGATTTCTCGAGGTTGATTACCTGGGAAACCGTCTTTTTCTGGAGAGTTAACGTCAATTTTGAGACCAAAGAGAAATTATGGAGGGGGGTACCGGCCCCCCTCCTTAGGGGGTCACTTTTGGGCTTTGGATGGTCCGATTTTGGATTTTTAGGGGTCAATTCCACGTGAAATTTTCCGTGCTTTTCAATTCTGATGCGACCTATCCGCAATTCGGTCGGGAACCGTGACTTTTAGCATCGCGACCCCCCCCCCTTTACCTCTCAAGGGGGGGGGGGGTGGGGGGGGGGTTTCGGGACCACGACATTCGGATTCCTTGGGGTCAATTCCCTATTCAACCCCGCGGTCTCCGACTTCGTACGACCTATACCAACCGAGAAAAAGGCCTGGTACGGGTGGTCTGAAACACCGTGTATGAAGAAGTTCCTTTCTTCAATGTCTAGGTATGAAGTAGAAACTCTGAGGTTTATTCCAGTGCCAGATTTAGGGGGTCGACAAAAGCAGTGGCCCCAGAGCCCCCCCCCCCCCNCTTGAGGTAATTTTTTACTTTCTCATTCCCATTGTAAGCAGAGGATGTATTGTCATCCAAAACTAAAATTTAAGAAAAAAAAAATAAATTCTATGATATCTATGGGTTTCAATTTACCTACCTGGAGTAAAAAAAAAAACATATTTGAATAGATGTATCTCTGGCATTGGAAAATGTGTGTGCAGCCATATCTGAAGGTCTGTTTGTTCAATTGTATAAAAAATGGGCATTAAGGTCCGTACTTAAGATCTCCCTCTGCACATCAAATGATTTTGGGATAGGTACGCCAATGTTTTTTTTTTTTTTTGGGGGGGGGGGTATGTTGCATATAACCAAGAATTTGACCAAATTACCAAAATTCACATGGTAAGCTGTTTCAGGAAGACACTTAATATTGAGCCGACGCCTTTAATTCTTTGAAAATTTGCATTTCCCCACCAGTATCTTTTCTTAAAGTTTCTAAAAGGACTTTGAACCAGACTTAAAATTGGGAGGGATGTGGGCTATCAAAGAGGGACATCACATCAAAATCACACAGTTTTCATTAGACGAAAAGTTTGGGGAAAATGGCCCTTCATTCATTGAAAATTGGCATCAAGCATCACCTCTACCTAGACCATTTTTTAAGTTCCTAATAGCAATGTGGTAAGAACTGCTAAAGAGTTGCCTCCTTATGCAACATTTTTCTTTCATTTAATCATAAAATTATCAGTTCTCTGAAAATCCCCTGTAATCACTCCGTGACCTATCTTAAGCATAAATTGAAGTCTTTAAAGTATGATTTTAATTAGGGTTTTTGAGGACCCTTATCCTCCAGTAGTAGGGTCGAAATGAGAATTTAAGGCCAATAAAATATCCAACAGCGTTGCCGGACGGTGCAGAAAAATACGAATTAAAAGTACAGTGTTGTATGGAAGGTATTGCACAATATGGCAATGCTGTAAAAAAGTATTGTATGTTGTCCCTTCATTTTCCGGCTTATGCAATAGTGTATGTACCCCCTGCGGGTTATGAAATGGTGCATGTTGCCCTAGGGTGCGTCAAAAAAATTGAAAGTCTGAAATGTTCCGCTCCCCAGGCGGCAATCGATGACGTTTGGTAAAAAAACATGTTTGCCAAAATTTGGGCCAATTTCAACCATTTTAAATGGTGCCAAAGGTCAATTTTGTGATGAAATTATGATATTTTGGTTTAGACCTCGAATTCGTACAAAAAACTCGATTTTACGCTGAATTCGTGCGTTTACGAGAAAAATGCCAAAGAACTCAAGTTGTAGAGAATGAAATTTTACTCCAGAAAGACGTCTTTTTAAACGATAAAAATCAAATTGAACTGGAAAAACTCACCTCGGGATTTATTTTTTTGGTCCTCAGAATTTCCGAGGTCTTACAAAGTAGCGGTTTAAAAGACTCATTTTTCACGAAAATAAGTCAAAAGAGGGTATAAATGAACCTCCTGCCTTTCAAATTTGGCCGCCATCTTTGATTTGGAGCGCCCCCTTTGATCGGAGGGCCTTGTTGAGTTCATTTATGTAATCTACAACCAAAATTACATAGGAAATGACACCTCACATGACAGATTGAACATTTTAAAATACCGATTTGTCGAACCCCTTTTTACGGCCTCCATTTTGAATTTTAGGTACTTTGAGGGGTGTTCGGGGTCGGGCCATTTTTAACTTTTAGGAAGTTGTTCAGGGGGACTTACTGATGACGATTACATAGGGAAAGTTTGTCACGCAATTTTTCCCGGTCAAACGGCACTTGTCCCATACTATTATAGCACGATCCTGCTTCTCGGGCCGTACAATTTTTGGAGGATTGCGCAAAATAGTTGGAACTTTTTTTGAAACTGAGGAAGTTCTGATGACATTTGCATCCTCAACACTTGCCTACAGTTCATTTATACCCTCTTTTGATTTATATTCGTGAAAAATGAGTCTTTTAAACCGCTACTTTGTAAGACCTCGGAAATTCTGAGGACCAAAAAAATAAATACCGAGGTGAGTTTTTCTAGTTCAATTTGATTTTTATCGTTTAAAAAGACGTCTCTCTGCAGTAAAATTTCATCCTCTTCAACTTGAGTTCTTTGGCATTTTTCTCGTAAACGCACGATTTCAGCGTAAACTCGAGTTTTTTGTACGAATTTGAGGTCTAAACCAAAATATCATAATTTCATCACAAAATTGACCTTTGGCACCATTTAAAATGGTTGAAATTGGCCCAAATTTTGGCAAACATGTTTTTTTACCAAAAGTCATCGATTGCCGCCTGGGGAGCGGAACATTTCAGACTTTCAATTTTTTTGACACACCCTAATGTTGCCCCTTCAAGATGGCGGTTATGCAACAGCGTTGCCGGACGGTGCACATAAATAAATGATTTTTTTCGGTACATTGTTGTCAAATTGTGCAAAAAATTCGGAATTTGGGACTTGTGAAATTCTCAACATCGATAGACCGTCTCCTCCAGGATGGGTCTGGTATCGGGTACCGGAGAGTAGGATCTGATTCGGGAATTTCAATTTTTAGTGGCGTGGCGGTGGTGTACGCTTGGAGATGTGTATCGGAACCTTGTGTTTTGGGATAAGCAACTGGGATTGGATATTGCAGTGTTCAGTTTATTGTTCAGGTTGCTGTTGTGTTGTTTATGTTTAGTTAAAATTTTTATTTTTGTTTTTGGTTGAAAGGACCCCGCACGGTTCTTATGGAAAATGGCCCTCGGTCAAATGCGTTGAAACTTCAGTATGTTGTGCAGCATGTCATCATGAACAAAAGTTCCAATAGGCCAAACAAGATCCCATGTACGGTTTTCGAGATATTCGCCGTTTTATGTGCGTAAACGGAGGTTTCGCGCGCTCCCGCCGGAGCCATACCATTGTGCGGCGCCGCTCGTGCGCTTCCTTCCCAGTCACTCTCCGCTGCCCCGCCGCCCATACCTTGGCTCCTCTATCGCTCCAACTACGACGCTCACGAGGCTGCGCCCATCATTACCGGACCGCGCCCGCACGCCGTCTTTTTACGCGGCCTCTTCTTCGGCCATGTCGCCTCTTTTTCTCATCGATCCTTTCTCTAAGTTTTCAAAAACGCTTAAAAAGTCCATTTTTACGCGGCTTTTTTGTGAGTACGAGTTTACGATCGGCGATCAGAACCCTCGACCTTCGAAAGTTACTTAGGGATTTTCTTGCAATGGTCTTCCAGCCGCATCTTTAATGTCTTTTTCATGGAACCTGGAGAAAACTTGTACTCACAAAAAGCCGCGTACGCGCATGAATGTTACGGTCGACCTGCAACTCTTTTTCATCATCTCTATGGAGTTTGTCTTGGATGTACGATCTGATTAGAGGATACGATCAG